TGGTGATAAATGTTGCGTCACAAAATCGAGACCCCCCTAGTAACAAATCGTTCCAAAATCGCCTACCCCTTCCCCCCCCCCCCTAAACGTGACGTAATTTATGGACGACCCTTTATTTGATTTGCTTATCAGCGCAGTACTTTTACATTTATTAGCGTTTCTAATAATTACTATACTTTGTCAAAACTTTATAAACGGGAAAAGAACTCTTTCTTTTTTTTGAGCTCCTGTCTATTAAATTTTTTTTTTCAATAAAGATTATTGTAACAAAAAAAGTTTTCAAAAAACAGTATTTAGAGTCAAGTTTATATTGTCTTATTTGTTTTATGGAAATTAACCGGTCAACCTTGACAAGCAAGATTTCATTTTGGTAGTGCACAACAGAATTTTTAATCACTTTTGTGTAGTTGTTAACCGTTGACCTCCAAACATTTGTCCGATACCGGTGGTATCGGACAAATGTTTGGAGGGTGGCTCCGGACAACTTAATTCGTTTTCATATTAGTAATAAACAACTTTTTTTATAAAAATATTAATACATTTAATATAATGCACAAACCTATAACAGTAATTCATTTAATTCCAATAAAAAAATATTAGATTTGAAAAACGTGTTTATTTTCATTATAAAAACGCTTATGTTTATATTTTTAAATGATGACATTTTCATTTTTTATATATCAGAGGCAATTTTTAGAGGCGATTTTTTTAAAAATGTGTCAAGAACAGTCCAATGCTAAATTATTATATATTACATTTGCTTCACACTGGTAAAAAAGAAGTAAAATCATGGTTAAACTATGTGTTAAACCAATTTCGAAAAATTCCTTTTTTCTAACATTTTTTCGTTTATGTTTTGTATATTATTATTATTATTTTTTTTTGTTCTTTAATTTTACAACTTTGTGATTTAATAAATATTCGTATATATATATACATGATCGTTATTAAGAAATAAAAGAACGCGGGAACTCGTAGAAGACCGTAAGGTCTTGTCGTCGAGAACCGCTAAAAAATTTTCGTGTTAATATTTCGTATTAATAAAATATTCTCAAAATAAATAAACTTTCAATAGGAATATATACTTAACATACTTGAAGATAACAAATAATTAAGAACTAAGAATTGAAAACATAAACAAATTTAAAGAAAAAAAGAAAAAGAAAAACGGTTCCGTTATAAATACATAGATGCGTTATACAGTTTAAAGATATCTTTAGCACAATTGTTATACTTTTTGTTAAAGGTTTTGTTATACAGTTTTAAGATACCTTTAACAAAAGTGTTAAACAACTATTTACAAATTGTTAAATTATGAAATTTATTAATGCAGTGTTAAATATAAAGTTAAAAAAGAAACAAAAAATTAAAAGAATATAGATATATCATCTAATAAAAAAATGACTTTTTTAAGTTTTTGTTTGAAAGAGTGATAGCTAACTTCTTGAGAAAAGTCAAAATTCTTTAAAACTATTTTATTCCAAAGTAATGCTCCTCGAAATGAAATACAGTATTTTCCAGAATTAGTTTGATAAGCTGATTGACGAATATTATTATCATTTCGTAAAATGTACTTAGTTTTTTCTTTTTTGTTATACAAATTATGAAAAAGTACAGGAGAAATATTGTTTTTTCATTTAAACATAAAACATATAACGTTAAAAATATTAAGCTGATATATATTTAAGACTTTCATTTCAATTAATAGAGGCTTGGCATGAGTAAATCGATCTTTAAAATTAATAAGGCGTGCAACATGTTTCTGTTGACGATAAAGAGGTTCCAGTTTACTTATATTAGTACTACCCCACGCAATGTTCGCATAGTTAATGTGACAATGAATAAGCGAATAATATAGTTTAAGTAATGTATGTTTATTTAAAAAACACCTTGCTTTGTACAAAATTCCTATGCTTTTTGATATTTTACTACTCAAATTTTTTATGTGACTTTTCCATGACAAATTTTCATCAATATAAATACCAAGAAAGTTTGTAACTGTTACTTTTTTTAGAAGTATATTATCAATAAAAAGCAGTGGCATTTCATTTGGTATAAGATTTTTTTTGTGATTTGGATGGAAAAAAATCCATTTCGTTTTATCAATATTAAGAGACAGTTTATTTGTCTTAAACCAATCAGAAACTCTTACTAGTTCATTATTGATATTCTGAAATAACAATGTAATATCATTATGAGATAAAAATAAGTTCGTGTCATCTGCAAACATAATCGTCATTAAATTTGAGGCTTTATGGAGATCGTTGATGTAAATAAGAAAAAGAAGAGGCCCTAATATTGATCCCTGAGGAACTCCACAGGTTATATCAAGCAAGTTTACTGGTGAAACTACATCAACGTATACAAATTGCTTTCGATTGTTTAAATAGCTTTTTAACCAATTTAAAACACTTCCGTTTATACCGTAAATCTTTAGTTTATTTAAAAGAATATTGTGGTCTATTGTATCGAAAGCTTTAGCTAAGTCAATAAAAACCCTAACTTGGGAGTATATTGTATATATTGGGAGTTTTCAAAAGAGTTAGTAATACTTCTTGTAAACTGGAGAACTGCGTGTTCTGTCGAGTTATTTTTTTTGAATCCATATTGATTGCTATATATTAAATTGTTTACAGATAAATGATTATAAATTTTGTTGTATAAAATTCTCTCCAAGACTTTTGAAAATGCAGATAGAATAGAAATGGGACGATAGTTGCTAACATTAGTTAAATCACCTCCCTTAAATATCGGAATCACCTTTGCTATTTTTAGTTGGTTAGGAAAAATTCCTTGCCTAATAGAACAAGAAAAAATCTTAAAAAGTACATCTTTAATGATTTCATATGATTTAATAACAATATTTACATTGATATCATGCGCACCTGCTGATTTGTTGGGTTTTAGCATTTTAAAAGTGCATTCAAACTCTTCAAAAGTTAGTTCAAACGAATTAAATTGCGATGTATTAGGGATAAATAGATTACTTATTGGATTAATTGCTTGAGGAATTTTTTGGGATAAATTTGGTCCAACAGAAACAAAATATTTATTCAGCTCGTTAGCTATCTCTTCTTTATCATACAAAAATTTATCATTTGATTTGATGGTTTTAGGCAATGTGAGTGTGTTCATTTTAAAACTGCCTGTGATTTCCTTTATAACTTCCCATGTCGCTTAGAATTTAATTTATATTTCTCAAGTAAATCATTGTAATAATTTTTTTTAAGATTTTTTCTTTGACGTTCGAATTGTTTGGCGTAACTTTTATATATAGCTTTACTTTTATCTGTTTTTAGTTTTAGGAATTTAATGTACAATTTTTGTTTGATTTTGGATGATTTTCTTAACCCTTTAGTAATCCATGGGGATTTTATACTTTTTAATTTACAATGTATTTTGATTTTTGGGAAATTAACATCATATATATCAAAAAAAGTTTTAAAAAATTTTTTGTAAGCCAGGTTAGCATCATCTAAATTGGAAATGTGCCCCCAATGAAGAAGAGACAATTGCTCTTTAAATGTTTCCAAACTTTTTTCATTAAAAATACGTTTAACAAAAATTTGATTTATATTTGGTGACGTTTCCATTTTAGTATTAATGGAAAAGAAAAGAGGGAAGTGATCAGAAATGTCACTTTTAATTATGCCTTTTTTAAGAGATTCGTTAAATAAATCAGTTGTTATTATATTATCAATCAGGGAAGATGTTGATTGAGTTATTCTGGTTGGTTTGGTGATTAGTGGAACCGCACCATTTTCAAAAATGTCATTATAAAAACTTTTAATGTTGGGTTTTACGTGATATTCGAAGCAACATAAATTTAAATCACCTATTAAGTAGTTAAATTTCTTTTCATGATTGGTTTTTTTAAATATATCATGATGTAAATATGAACTAAAACTTTCAATTACACCAGATGGTGGGCGATAACAACAACTAATTATAATATTTTTAGCTATTTATTTATTAAGGTACGCAATAACTATTTTGTTTCTAATTCAATAGATGAATGCTTAAACTTTTAAAAAAAGTCTTTTGACACTTTATTTCTGTTAGAATATGTGCACAATCTATATTTTTCTCAAGAGTCCGGGGCTACCCGACTATCCCCTATCAATATTAGTAAAATTGGGTACTTTGGATTGAACACATTTCAAGTCAAATGGAAGTATGTTATTAGCTTTAAATCCTGCTTATAGAATATGTTCTATATTTTGCGGGGCCCAGGGCTATAGACCTCCCTAGTCCTCCTTTATCCGGCACTGTTAGCAACTATTTCTGAAATCTCTATAAAGTTCTTATACTTTTGATACCCAGGTTGATATACTTTCAGACTAAAAAAATTCAGTGATGTATAGAACCCAGTGAGTAATGGGTCATTGGGTGACCTTTTTTAAAAGTGAATAAAACCAATCATTTTTTAGTTACTTTCAAACAAAAGTTCACCTAATTATTATGCAAAACTAAAGCTTTTCAAAATACTTTACAATAACATAAATAAATAAAATAACTTGTTTGTGAAATGATACAAAAAATAATAATTGTTTATTTAGGTATAATATATGTAGATATTGGGCAAATTTGTATGTATGTATGTATGTATGTATGTATGTATGTATGTATGTATGTATGTATGTATGTATGTATGTATGTATGTATGTATGTATGTATGTATGTATGTATGTATGTATGTATGTATGTATGTATGTATGTATGTATGTATGTATGTATGTATGTATGTATGTATGTATGTATGTATGTATGTATGTATGTATGTATGTATGTATGTATGTATGTATGTATGTATGTATGTATGTATGTATGTATGTATGTATGTATGTATGTATGTATGTATGTATGTATGTATGTATGTATGTATGTATGTACATATGCTCCTTATTGGGTCTGCTTTATGTACAATATTATGTATAATTTAAAATAACTTAAATCGAGCACAAATATAACACATCCATGTGTATTTTTTTTGTTATTAGGTCCTGCTTACTTAGACGAAAATGTTTCACCAAAAGTTGCGCCAATTTGTATTGGTGTGTTGTTTGCATCATCAATTTTAGGGCGCGGTTTTGGTTATATAATATCTAGTGTTTTTCTGAGAATCTTTACAAATATTCATCAGGTAAATCAAAATATTTTTCAAATCATACAATTTAAAAACAAAAAATTGAGTATAAAGATATATATAAAAAAAAACATTTTAATTTTTTCTGCTGATTAGCAAATGTAGATTAAAAATTTATTATTTTTATATAGAAAACACTGCTTACAGTGAAAGACAGCGAATGGGTAGGTGCATGGTGGCTAGGCTTGTTTTTGATGTTTAGCTTATTGATAATTTCTGGATTTTTACTTTTATTTTTTCCTAAACAACTACCTGGTGGAGTAGAAAAACGAGAACTTGCTAAACAACAAGGAAACCTACCGCTATCAGACTCTAATGTAAAATATACCATAAAAGGTTTTATAGTTGAAAGCTTTAAACTTCTTAAAAACAAAGTTTTCATGTTTAGTATTATGGGACTTACTGCTAAAACATTGTATGGTGTAAGTATTGGGACTTTTTTTGCAAAACTACTTATCATAAAGTTTGGAGTTTCTCCTGATAAAGCAAGTATGATATTAGGAGCGGTGTTGCTCCCTATTATGATGGGTAAGAAATTATTTAAATTTTATTAAAATATTTCATTTAAAGAGAAAAAAAAACACACACGCACCTTTAAAAAGTTTACATTTCATTAACATAGGAGGTGTGCTTGGAGGATCTTTTATGATGCGCAAATGGAAGCTAAAAGCAGCCGGAAAAACTTCTATGAAGTTTTGTTTTATTGCATCAGTTGTTGGAGGAATATTTTCTGTATTGTTTCTTATACCTGGGTGTAGAAATACAAACCTAGCTGGTGTAATAGTACCATATCCAAACCAGTAAGTAATGTTTACATTTTCAAATTTTAAACTTTATTTCTAATTGATATTACAATTTATTTCAACCTAAAGAATGTTAGAAAACTCATTGAATTCACAATGCAATTCAAATTGCACCTGTTCAGAAAAAAACTATCTTCCAGTATGTGGCTCCGATGGCATCACTTATAGTTCGCCATGCTATGCAGGTTGCCAGACTCTTCAAAAAGAAAAAGGAAAGGTATGATTTAATCAAATATTTACTATCATAAAATCATATTGCAACTTAATGAGAAAACTGCTTTAATGTTAAAAAAAGTTATAATTTTTAATTTTAGGTAGCATATTTTCGAAATTGTAGTTGCGTAGCCAACTCGAATAAGAAAAGTTTTAATTTTACAGATCAGTATAATTATGCAACTCCTGGGAAATGTGAACGCAACTGCAAAAACGCATATATATTTGTTTTGAGTACAGCTTTTGTAATAGCATTGTCATTTTTAGCAGGGACGCCACATAAAATTGCTGTTCTTAGGTATTTTTGTAATTTTTCAGATTTTTTGTGATTACTTTTAACTACTTTTTAATTGCACTGTGTGTAACTTTTGATATTGTATGTAACTTTTTACATTCAATTTTCTTGTTTTAAAAATTTTATTTCATAATATTTAATCTTATGATCTTTACACATATAACTCTTTTTAAAATGATAAATAAATTCACAAAATTCATTTTTAGATGTGTTCCCGATAACCACCGTGCATTTGCATTAGGAATGCAGTTCATGATAATGCGATCTATTAGCTTTTTACCTGGACCTATCATTCTAGGTGCGGTTATTGACTCGCAATGCATAACCTGGTCATACGGTGAATGTGGTAAAAAACTCAACTGCTTAGACTACAACTCTGATCGTCTTTCTTTTAATCTTGTATTGTTTGGGGTAGCAACATCCGGTAACAAATTTTTTTACTGCATCAGTAATCTATAAAATACCATGGCAATGTTTTAAGTTTAATAATTATGTATATCTTGTATGCAATTTATTTTGAAAGTTTTGGAAAGTACCGGCCACGGTTTGTAAATTTGGGACCCTAATATCAATGAAATACCCTATGAAAACCCTTTTAAGGGGGGATAGTACATAACAATGGATGGCCATACAGAGTGATTTTGAAATCCTGCATAACATCCAATGGAGATTTTTTACCTTGAAGTTTTGAAGAAAATAAGAATTTTAAGCAACATTTGGCTTTTTTATCATAAAAAAAAAAATGTTACAAACATAAATTGGGAGCTTTTTTATTTTATTCATTTATTTTCTTAATGATCGCATTTAGAAGATAAACAACAATTTCTATAATTCCATTAAAAATTATAATGCTCTCTAGAGACGAATCATTGGGAACAAAATAAAGACACTAAAATATCACAAATCTGTTAAGAGTATTCTTAGGATTTTTGTAACACTGTTCTTTAGATCTAGATTTTCTTGCTGTTGTATTCGATCACACACTTCAGGAGTTGGCTGGCATAGTCTGGATGTGAGGAATCTCGTTTGTATCTCTCCCAACGAACTTTGAAATTGGAGTGCAGAGCTTCTGTTGCCTGCTCACTGAAGAGACCAAATCCTGTTTTCTTGATTTTGATGAACTGAGGTACATGGTAAAACACTGCATGTACTTTTGGAGTAACTGAAATGGGTAGGCGGATGTAGCTTTGTTTGAACTTGGAGATCTTCTTTTCATCTTCGATTCATAATCAGGATCCAAATTATTGCCAAAGCAAGAAATGACCACATCCTTAAATAGTGCAAGTGTTTGCATGAAGTCATGAGCTTGACTAAAATTGTTGTATCCTGTGACCAATTGCAACTTGTCTAAACCTCTCAAGAGCTTCATGCAGTCATTCCCATTGAAATGTCCACCATAGTAGGGCTGAATAGGAATATGAAGTGAAGCTGGCCATTTCTCGGCCCCTGGCCAAATTTTGCAAAGATTTTTATACAAATGGTTTACTACTCCAAGTAACAAATGGAGCTCCATTGGAGGGATAGCTTCAAGCACAAGCTTGTGATCAGGAAAATCAACCAATGGTACGTGAATGACATTTTTGAACTCCTTTGATTTTCTTGTATCTCCTCCTGCGTTGATGAATTCAAAATGTTGTCTCCTAATCTCGCCAAAAGTTCGAGGACTTCCACAGTTTTGGAGGTTTAAAGACGAAACATCACACCAACAACATGGGTGTTTGCTGCTATGGGATTGAATGCCACACAGAATATTTGCCAACTTTAGGTCACATGATATGACCAGAGAATCCATCTGACATTTCTCTTGTACTTGGATGAGGTCAAAAATTGCCTTCACATTATGGTAGTTCTCTGGAGTGTTTTGTGCAATTGCTACCAGTAGTTGCTGCACTTGTTGATTTAGTTGTTTGTGGAGACATCAATTTGATTGTTTTCTGCAGTGGGCTATGTGGCGGTGTCTCACCTTCATCCACAATGATGTGTGTGAAGCTGACTTTCAAAAAAGATCCTCCACCATCAATTCCTAGTTTCAAAATTGCAGAATCTGTCATCTTTCTTGATGCTAAGAAGGCATCACTAAGACTACTGAGGTTTTGACAATGCACAACTTGGGATATTTGATTGTTTTCAGCAAGAGTGATGCTGCTCACAGTGAAGTGATCACAAAGTTTTTGGCCTGCTTGAGCGAATTTTTGCTGAAAACTTGACTCCACCAATCTGATAGGACTGATTTGATTTAGTGCCGATCCAAGTTTTCTCATCCCATTGTTTGAAAGTCCTATATTCTGCTGAATTTGAACCATATTCTGCGTTGTGAGAGGCTCTTTGAAAAGTTGCTGTGCTGATGAAGGTCCTAATTATAAAAATTGCATTTAAAAAATAGTTCATGACCTTCAAAAAATAATAATATTTTTCAAAAACTTACTTAATTTAAAAATAAAATTTTCTCTGCAAATATATTTGCAGAGAAAATTTTATTTTTAAATTAAGTAAGTTTTTGAAAAATAAATAGATAATATTTATATTTTAATTTAATCATTTAAAGTTCAAAAGCACTATTACCTTTTCTCAATGGCAATAACTTTCCACAAGGTTGACGGAGTCTGATGGTGCCATGAGGAGATGCTTTTTTTGATGCCAAAACTGTTGCTGCAACTTGCTCTGCACCAATGGGATCAGAGGCAGCCATTCTTCTCAAATTTTCATGGCGTGTTCCAGGAGTGCAGTAGTGAGGAAGCCCACGACCAATAACTGACAAGCACTTAGTACAATGCTTTTCTGCATTTTGCGAAGATTGTTGGGGAACTTTTGGTGCTGAATCTTGAACCTTGCTTAATGGATGCCTTTTTTTCCCCATGATTTTGGCAATCTTACAAATCAAGCACTCACAGACTGTAGAAAAACGAGTAAGAGGCTTGATTCAAAGTCATAAATCTGAGGCACAACATTTGTTTTACCATCACACAGCTTTCCAATGTGAGATCTGCAGGAGATGCAGGTCGCCAATGGTACTCTGTCATCATTGAAGTTGATTTCTTTCTGAATTTGTTGAAGAATTTTAGCTTTGAAGTTTTCAGTCAATTCTTGATCACCTTTCTTCATACAGATAACACAAACAGATTTTCTACATTCTTCATGGTTTTTGGCAAATGTAGGCATCTTTAAATTCTTAAATATTTGTTCACAAAAAAATATGTTAAAGTGTACTGCCTTTTCCCAGAATATATTTGTTTACTCTTTTCGTTAGTTTCGAAAGTTCGATTTTACGCTTGCACTGATCAAAACGCTCAATAAAGAATTATTTAAAAAAAAATGAATAAAATAATAAACATTTTACGTTTCATGGGCTACAATCTTTATTTTATAAAAAAAATTAAGGGAGCAAGTTTAGTACCATTAATTGGCAGCTTAATTTGGCTCATAAATCAACCCTTTTAAAAAACCTTCATGATCAAATAATTCTTTTTGATGTTAATCCCCGATTTCAAAACAACTCAATATAAACTCCCATTGGCATGTACTATCCCCCCTTAAAAGGGTTTTCATAGGGTATTTCATTGATATTAGGGTCCCAAATTTACAAACCGTGTGGCTTTTAGATAATGGAAGTTTTTACAAAAAAGAATCATTATTGAAATCTTGAAGTAAATATATAAAATAATGTATTTTATACAGGGCCAATTGCTCTTAGCTGCACTTTCCCCCCATTTTTTAACAAAAACGTCCCAGAAAAAAAAACGCTTAAAAGTGTATCTTTATTTATTTATTATTTATTAAAATGATATCTATACAGGATATATACCTTCAGTTATAAAAACTGTTATCAACATGCACAAAATATGTTTTTTTTAAATTTAAATTATGAAAATATAAATTATGGAATAAAAAAATTTAAATTATGAAAATATACATTATATAATATTTAATGTAAATTTTAGTTAAGTGTGAACATTGGTAAAATCTGGTCAGTAAAACTAAAACTGTTCAAATTATTATAAGAGCTTTGTAAAAATAAACAATTTATTTTTACTTATATAAATGTAAGTAGCTGTTTGTTGTTATAAACATTTCTTTTTGTATTATTAGATAAATATTAAGAATGTTAAACCTATTAATAAACCTTAGCTGCAACAGTTCCACTTAAGTTTTATTAAACCATAGTTTGATTGAATCAAAAGGGGTAATATATATGAATAAAATAAAATTAAGTTGTTGCTCTTAGGTGTTTTACACACAGGAGGGAACTTTTATTAATATTTGGAAAATTTTCCCACACACCCGTGCTTAAAATATCTCTCAACTAAAAAAAAAAAAATCAGAAAAAAATATATCCCAGTCTCCCTTTTATACCCACCCCTTGTATTAAGCACCCGAGAGTGATAAAGTTTGAAAAAAAACAATACAAATTACGTTGGTATGTTTGTATGAATTTTGAAAAACAGTCATAACGTAGTGCTAAGAGTTCTGGCTCATAATCAAGAGGTCCGTGAATCAATGCTAACACTGGCCATATGTGTGAAATGGGTAAGAAAGGAAGAGTGAACGTCTTACTTAAATGCTCTTCCACGGTGCTTTGTGATAAGACTGTAAGGTTTTCTTGGGGTAAAAAAATTATAAATAAACCATTTGTGTAAATATATTAATTCAAATACAATATAATTGTATAACTTTGTACGTTTTTAGATATTGAAACGCTTTTTTTAGTTTTGTTTTAAAAATATATAACAATTATTCTTTAGATTAGCGTATAGTATATGATTCAATATTTCTTTAGTGGTTGGTTCTATACTGTACTTTTTGGCATGGTGGTGTTACCCAAAACTATCATCAGATAACGACATCAAGTTTTCAGAATTAAAAGACAATGTGATAAACTAACTCACTAGGAAACATTTAATAAAATTGTTAGCAGATTAACTTGCTTCACTAGTTTAACAACTCAGTCAACTGATTAACAAATACAAACCTGACAGCATTACACACACAAACACACACACACAAACACACAAACATATATGCTGAGGTTATTAATTTACAAAAACGGATAACTTTATAAACTACACATAATATGTATATATATATATATATATATATATATATATATATATATATATATATATATATATATATATATATTTATATATATATATATATATATATATATATATAAATATATATATATATATATATATATATATATATATATATATATATATATATATATATATATATATATATATATATATATATATATATATATAATTTTTTACATAGTATATTTAAAAAAGACTTATAGTTTTTTTTTTAATTTGTAATGAAAGAAAAACTTGAAATGAAATAAAAATTTTTTAGTTTAAGTCCGCGATTGGTAAGTAAAAAACCCACAAAAATCACGGAATCATATTTTTCAAATTAATTTTGATATAAATCATTTATGATTTAAAATATTGTTCAATCTTAAATGTTGAAATATAAAATTTGATATATAACAATACATGAATACTTTTATTTTCTTATATTCACCAAAAGTATATACAGTACAAGTAATACTGCTTGTTATATGCGAACTATATATGTAAATACTGCTTGATCTTCTATTAATAAAACAATAAAACAAAGCCTAAGCTATCTTTTTTCTACTCTTCAACCAGTCATTCGTAGTTAAGGAGATCCTGTCCAATTTAACATTCATTGGACCATAATAGTAATATGGTGTAAGAGTATTAAAAAAAAAATCAGCAAAATGATAGTTAAGAACTTATTAGAAAAAGAAATATTTACAACTAATTTTTTGATTATTGTCATCTGTGAACACATACGATGGTTCGAAATCTAAAACCAGAATTGAAAGATTGTGACTAATACTTAAAAATAAAATTTCTTTTTTTTAATAATTTACTTAAATGTAACTAATAAATTATAAGTTCACGCATATTTACATAATTAAAATTCCCAAAAAAAACCTAATATGTTTTTCTCGCTTTACTTCATTTTTATTGGTTGACCGTTTCGGCAACTTTAACGAGAAAATAGTTGTCCTTTTTTATGAAAGAGAGTTAAGCTTGTTTTTTTTTGTAATTAAAAAGTAATTTATTTGTTTTATATCATTGCTTCAAATTTTCGACTTCATTGTTAACTGTTTTAAACAATACTTTCAAGTCGGACTGGTTATAAAATAATTAAGCTTTATCAGCACAAGAAAATGACAATATTTTATGATAAGTTTTATTCATAAAATTAATATATATTAAAAAAAGTAATGGTTTCAGAATTAATATCTGTTGAACTCCGCACATAATTTTAAAAACTCCTGTTTCCTTTAAGACAACATTGCTTTCTGTTGAAAAGATAGTTTTTACCCGTTTTACATATAAGGCAATTATTAGTGTATGTATTAGCAAATAAAAAAATAGTTGACAGTTTATTTTATTTTATTTTATATACAAATACTTTAGTTCTTTTACAATTAAAGTTCGTAAAAAACTTTTTTACATTTTAAAATTAATTAAAGTTCAATGACAATTAAAGCTCGTAGTATAAAAACTATTTAAATTTAAAAATAAAAAAATTGTATGTTAGCAAAAAAGGAAATTTAACTAATAAAAGTTAATTATTGCAAGTTTTCAGAAAATAACAGTATTATAGTAAAAAATGAGGTCTTATCATCGAGAACCGCTGAGTAGCTTTTCATTGTTTGACAATATTAAATACTTGACAAAGATATTAAAAAAAGTTAAAATAAGCATAGTATAAAATAAATGGAAACAAGAACAAAAAAATTTTAAAGTTAGTTTTAAATAAAAGTACATAAAGTAACTTTAAAGAAACCATAAAGAAAAATACTCTATAATATTCTTTTCAATTAATATTTGAAAGCAATAATAAATAAAAAGTTTAGTAAAATATTCTTTTCAATTAACTTTTGAAACCAATAATAAATAAAAAACTTAATAAAATTTTCTTTTCAATTAATTTTTGAAAGCAATAATAAATAAAAAATTTAATAAAATATTCTTTTCAGTTAAGTTTTGAAAGCAATAACAAATAAAAAAATTAATAAAATATTCTTTTCAATTAATTTTTGAAGGCAATAATAAATAAAAAAAATTTATTAAAATATTCTTTACAATTAATTTTTGAAAGCAATAATAAATAAAAAATTTAATAAAATATTCTTTTCAATTAATTTTTGAAAGCAATAGTAAATAAAAAATTTAATAAAATTTTCTTTTGAATTAATTTTTGAAAGCAGTTTACATTTTTTGCAATAATATCTTTTGATATCATTCTATTCCAAATTCATATTTGGAATAAAATCATAGCACTATATGCAATTTTAAGGGAGACTAAATATGTGCAAATTTCATAACTGCGAACTGACCTAAGTGCAAAGCAGTTCCAAAAACTGGCGTAAGTGCGAACTGGCATAACTGCACCGAATAAATTTGCAAACATCAAACTGGCATAAGTGCAAAACAATTGCAAAAACTGGCGTAAGTGCGCCGAATAAGTTCGCAAAAATTGGCGTAAGTTCAAACTTGCAAAAGTTTGCTAGAAAAATTTGAAACCATTGGCATAAGTGTGAACTGACATAGGTGCGAAGCAGTTGCAAAAACTGGCAAAAAGTGCGAATTGATATAGATGCGAGTTGACATAAATGTGTCGAAGGAATACGCAAAGATTGGCATAAGTGTAAATTGGCATAAGTGCGAATCTCTATGCCAATATTTTCAAATTTTTTTGCACAGTTAACAAATTTTGTCAGTTTGAAAAATTTTCCGGGTACATATGCGAGTTCACACATATGCCAATTCATGATTTTGCACTCATGTCAGTTCGCAATTGTGCCAGTTTTTGTAACTGTTTTGCACTTATGCCAATGCTTGCGAGTTCTTTTGGCGCTAGCATAAGTGACTTATGCTAGTGTTTTCGAATTCTTTTGGCGCACTTATGCCAAGTGAAAATTAGCGCACTTATGCCAATGTTGGCGAATTCTTTTGACGCACTTATGCCACTTCGAACATATGCCAGTTTTTACAACTGCTTTGCATTTATGCCAGTTTGTACATATGCCAGTTTGCACATGTGCCAGCTTTTTGAACTGTTTCGCACTTATGACTGTTCGCACTTATACCAATTCGAATCTTTGAAAACTCTTTTGATGCACTTATGCCAGTTCGCACTTATGCGAGTTTTCACTTACACCAGTTCGCTCTTATGCCAGCTCGCACTTATGCCAATTCGCACTTATGAAATTTGCACTTATTCAGATTATAATGGAGATATTCGATAAATCATTTATTTACATTGGGAATTTTTGCTGCGGATTTAAATCCTACACTCAAAAAAAAATTGTTAAATTTATTTGCTATATTGTTTTCGTTGCCAATAGTTTTACATTTCAACATTTTGAATTTTTGAGAAACATGATTTATTGATTTTTGGCTTGCCAACTATTTTGTTTAAAATTTGCCAAATTTTTTTATATTTTAATTGACACTTTTCTAGTTGTTTATTTAAGTTTGATTTTGCGATTTGTTAACTTTATAAAAAAACAATCCTTCTTTGGTCTTTATGCATTTATATATATAAATGCATAAAGACCAAAGAAGAGTATAAAAACTAAAAGATTGTTTTTTTATAAAATTTTTATAAAAATTAGGAAAAGACTGGCCTCTTTTAGTATACCTTAACAATCCAAATTCTATGTTGAGCAATTTCCAGAATAAAATTTTAAACTTATATGAAAAACACAACCCAGAGAAAATAAAAACTATTAAAATAAAAAATTAATTTTGCCATGGTTTAGTAAAGTTTTAAAAACATCTTCTAAGTAAAAACAGCGAATATATGATGAATATCTAAAATAAATTCTTTAGATAATTATCATATATATGCTGTTTTTACTTTGAAGATGTTTTTAAAACATTGCTAAACCATGGCGAAATTAATTTTTTATTTTAATAATTTTTATTTTCTCTGGGATGTGTTTTTCATAAATGTTTTAAATTTTATTGTGGAAATTGTTAAACATAGAATTTGCATTGTTAAGGGGTACTAAAGGAGGCCAGTTTTTTCCTAACTCTTTTTGAAAAGCAATTTGATTGTTTAATAACGTGCTTTGATTTTTAAATGAAGTTTAACATTTGTAAATAACATTAAGGTTTCGTTTATGCTTATTTGGTATAACTGCTGATATAATAATTGGCATGTGATCTGGTATGGGCGTTTTAACTATTCCTTTTTTAGTGAGGGAATAAATAAAGTACTAGTTAATACATTGTCTATTGATGATGCTGACTTTCTTGTTATTCAAGTTTGTTGATTAAAGGAATCACACCACACAAAACATGTTAAAAGTTTTGAGTTTTTATTTCATTATCATGACTTAGAGCTTTAAAGTAAAACAAACTCTTTTTTTCTCGAGATATAGAGATATATTCCGGAGGTGATCTGAGAATTTTTCTGTTGACGTATTTGGTGATTTATAGCAACACGTTGCTAAAATAATTTTATATCAATTGAAACTAAGGTTGGAATACAGGAAGCGAACTTGAATTTTGAAGTCATACTTCAAATCTGAAATTTGACTTGAGCAAATGCAAAGAGCAAACTTGAACTCAAGCTACACTTGAAACCGGAAATTTTCAACTTTGACTTGAAAAAGCTAAATAAGAAAGCAAAAATCTTTTCTGAATGCAAGAAGAAAACTTGAAATTTTAAGTTATATTTCAAATCTAAAGTATGACTAAAGTGTTATAGAAGAAACAATCTTGAACTGAATCCGTGTTTAATAAATCAGATTTCAAGTCGTTTTTTGAGGTAGTAGTAATAGGATCGAAAACAGCCAAACTGAATAAGCTCGAAAAAGGACTTTCCAGAATAATTTCCGGAAATAAAATAATTTAAAATAATACATATGTATTCAATAGTTTTGTTAACTTATGTTACAAACACTTTATTAAATAATAACTTGACTTTGTGACTTTTTTGAAAACTTGGTTTTCAAAAAAGCAAAAGCTGTGCTACAAATCTACTTGAAACACAAGAAATTTTATTTGATGCTATTAAGAAAGGCTGGTATGTTG